AATATATGAACCATTTTGGCTTTATCCAAATCATAAATTGTTGTTGAATGATTTATAGTGGTCGCCACGGTCATTTATAGGTGAGTAGTTCATAAGACTATCTCTTGTTATGATTATTTTCATTGTTTTATGTATGTGAAATATTATCGATGGTCATTTATAGTTGTAGATCGAAAATAGTCTAATCTGTGAAGTCATCATCAAAACAAAGAAAAATTTATTCCCAATAAAGAATTCCAGCCAGTGCAGCAGAAGCCACAGTCTTTTATTCTAAAAACCCTGAGATTATTTCGTTCCTGTGCAGCTTGCTGCACTATGACAGAAATCTTAGTCGGACAGATACAGAAGGCTGTCATTCTTGGCTCACTACGCTTAGTCAGGGCACATAATTTTCGCACCCAATGATCACTCACAACACGGTGTGGGGAGTGGTCATTGGTAAGGACTTCAATAATTAGAACAACCATCTTGACAGAGTGGTCTGGATAGAGTCTGCGGAGTTCGAAGAGAAAATCTCGGTATTTTATCCATTTTTTCTCCTCTTTTCGGACGATATTCGTCTCTCCAGGAGCTGAAAACTCCACGACAAATATCGTTTTTCTGTGGTGGTCGAGATGGACTACATCAGGCTTAGCTTTTATAAGCTAAGCCTGATGTAGTCGAATAGTTCAAATAAAGTGAGCACTTCTCGTTCCTCACAACGGATTCAATATCTCCCTGAACGTGCGGCAACACCGGTGTCTCGTGAGTACCATAAGAGTACCGTAGATGATAATATAGCACTCTTAGGGCTTCGTTATGTTGATGGATATAGGCCAAGACCGCATGTGCTGAACATGCTGATAGCAAGTGCATTAGGATCTCGGGCGCCTCGCGGCAGACACCTTGTATCAGGAACATCTATACCCATCACGCGACTGCGGTAGACTAAAGTGTTGAAGACACCATCCTGGCAAGCCATGATGAACTCCTCAGTTTCCGACTTCAGCCCACTCGACCTGAGGAAAGCGAAAGTCAGGCGCTTTGATAAGCCAAGGTCTCCAATGTTAATAAAGAAGACCTCATGCATTGGCTCATCCTTGTGTTTCCGCAGAAGTAAGGTGATCTCTGTGTCTTTTATATGAGCTTTTTGTTTAACGGGTTCCTACTGGATGACAGAGTTGTGGTCACCACGTTCAGTGTCGAAAACTAAACCAAGTTCATCAGCTACTCACGCACCTGTCCTAAAGATAAATTCTCCAATTCCTGCTCTCTCATAGTCACGGACCATGCAGAGAAGGGGATCCGAACTCCAGTACCATTCTGTCATGTAGACACTACAAACTCAAAAGTCCACGGCCTCCCTGTAGTCGGGGGAAGTACAACCGTGAAACGGATGATTTGGGATGCAAACTCGTATAAAAATGCATCATTTGTCGGGCCTTTACGTCGAGTTGATACAGCTTCTCCCGAGTTCACTTCACTACTCCAAACGAGTAGTGTAAGATTGGAACGGCAAGCAACAACTTTTTTCTTTCCCGGCAGTTCCGATGACCAGATCTGTCGAAGTTTGTGTTGATACTTGCTGCGGAGAGAGTTCTTCACTGCTGTTGCCTCTTGTGAGTGGCGTTGTACCACCCCGAGGTAAGTATACGTCTCTCTGGCATCCAAATGGAATCATCGCGTCGTCCTCTTTTGAAATGGACCATTGCACATTTGTCTATCCCGAATTTCATACCGATAGCATCGTGTACTCTTCCACCACCTTCAAGGACTGATGGAGATCCTTCTCTCCAGAGGCATAAAGTTTAAGATCATCCATATCAAACAAATGGGGGCCTTGTGCCTCCAGTTTCCGGAGGTGCCACAGTTATACCCTCAAGTATTTCTGAGCGCAACGGATAATGGCAATAGTGAGATGCAGAAGAGAAGGGGACTGAAAGAATCGCCCTGAAAAACACCCCTTTTGAAAGTGACCCACCCTGTTTTGATTCTGGCTTGACCAGACCTTATGGTAAAGCGAGTTCGCCAAAGTGGTATCAGTTGTTCAATGCATCTGACTATTTCGTCGGGTACCGCAAGGCATCTGGGCAAATGCAAGATGAGCTCATGCGATATTGTATCAAATGCCTTACGGTAATCGATCCAGGCCATAGAGAGGTTACGCCTATATTGTATCGACTCCTGCGTTACACGTCTATCGATGAGCAGGTTCTCTTCACATCCAGCGACTCATCCGGGGTTATCGGGTTGCGCAGTTCATTGAGCTTAGGCTCTCGGAGCTCTCTGTTGAAAGCTTCGAACTGCTTTAGGACTGGAGTGTCTAAGTTGAGTGGCTGCGGGTGTTCATAGATATCCTTCCAAAAGAATCCCACTTGATCAGCGGTCGGCAGATTATCCGCAACACGTGGAGGCTCTTGGAATAAGCGAGAAGGTTTCTCGCGGAACATAAGGTTTTCCGCGATACTTCGCGCTCGCCTCACTAGTGACTTCTTAGCAGCCACTAGCATTCATATTCTATCAAGGCAGTGCTGTTTGGTGATCAGCAGCACGCCTCGACTTAAAGTGTGATGAATACGTCGTTGTTTGGCAGCCTGTTGGCCGCCCTGTAATCCATCACACATTGGATACGAGACGCCTGTTGTCTCGCCGACGTGATCTTAGCCTCCATCTTGTGTACACGCCGTTCAATCTTCCTAATCGCAAGGCCGGGGTTTCTTCCTTCCGATTCGGAAAGCATTTGGACGATGCTATACACGGCGGTGTTGATTTGCCAGATGTCAGCCTCTTCTGTTAGAACACTATGAACCTCCGCATCCAAACAAGCCAGTTCTTGTGGCTTGAGGGGCTAATTCTGTGGATTGCTCTACGTGTTCTGATTGACACCATTGGTGGCATGATGCAAGTCTCCTCTCCAGCCGTGCCAACGGGTGGTAGAACTGTCACTTCTACCACTTCGTTAGCAGGCTGGGAAGGAGCTATATAGCTCTGCCGCCGAAGTTAGGATACGTAATCCCTAAGATTTTGGGCGGAAAAAGCGGCATGCTCCGGATGTGTTTCACACCACAGAGCATGCAATCTCGCCATGTACTCTCTTCGCGCGGGATCATTACTCCCGTAGCAATGCATAAGGCTATCTCTTAGCTCATGCGTACACTTAAAGCGTCAGTTGTCAATGCCAGGGTTGTCATCGGTAGGCAAATCATTGTTATGCGCCAGGGCTGCCGATCCGGTTTCGCACCAATTGCTCGGGTAAGTGGTGGCGCAACTCACCAAAGGCCAACGGTGTTAATGGCCATGCCTGCTTATCTATTATTAATATTATTTCATCTAGGCATCCTTATATACTAAAATATTTTTAAAATTGGATGGACAAAGTTACAGTCCAACTTCATAACAATAAAATATGTATGCTCGGAATCATCCAAGCATTCAATGAATAGAAAAAATAACAATATTAATTACAAATACTAGATATATATGTTATTATAATATCAATGTTAATGTGAATGTTGTATCTTCAGATGACTGGTAAGTCCTTTTTTGAATGTCATGGTAGATTCACTTCGTTTTATGGAATAAGGAGTTCATGAATTGTGTATAGTTCAAACGTGGTATTCTCCCTAGTGGAGTAATGATGAATTTGTTCATGGTGAACAATAAATTGGTCAAAATAAGAGGGCACATTACCAGGCGTATATCTATAACATCTTAAAATAAGGCTCAAGTCTCTATTCTGCAATGTTTGCAATGCAGACAAACAATTTGCATCAAGTTGTGATAGTAAAGTAGCACAGTAATCGAAATGGGGTTGAATGATTGATTCAAAACCTGTAATGAAAGTCTGAAACGATAAGCAACTGTTTACACGGCCAAAGAAAAAATGTATTTTAACAATTTCATTGCGAATATAATTGTAATGTTTTTTTATATTCAGTGTTTGATCCACGATGATCCCCAAATATTTTTTTGATTGTATATATACTTATACAGTGCTAGTCAAAAGTCCCCCCCCCCTCGTATCTTTTGAACGGGTATACTTATAATAATGAAATTTGGAGGGTGGAAATAAACGGATGTAGGCTTCTTAACTGGTCATAACAGGTGACGCAATAGTCATAAATGACGTCACAAGGCCACTGTGACCAAAAATTTTAAATGGGACCCTATGGCAAGTGACAGCTCGTTTGAAAGGTATTGAAAATACCTATTCAGTCATACCAATTTTGTTTGGGTTTCGGCTGATTTTGATTGATAAATTGAAGAAATACGAAAATTATTGTTTCGCATTTAATTAATAAAGATTT